CCAGGAAACTGACATAAAAGAATGATGACTTTTAAATTTTAAAAAAAGGTTACATAAAAAAAAAGGCTATCTTCTACTATAGCCATTTCAAAAGGACAATTTAGAGGTATACCCATTTAATGGAATATTTTATTCAGACATAAAATAATGAAGTTCTGACACATGCCACAACATGATGAAACATGAGAACGTTAAGGTAAGTGAAATAAGCCACACACAAAAGGACAATACTTTATGATCCACTTACATGAAGCACTTAGAAAAGGCAAATGCATAGAGACAGCTAGTAGATTAGAGGTTGCCAGGAAGGAGAGGGAAAAGGGAGTAACAGTGTTTAATGGACACAGAGCTTTTGTTTGGGATGATAAAAAAAAAAAATCTGAAATAGGTAGCAGTGATGGCTGCACAACAACATAAATGTCATTAATACCAGTGACTTTAAAAAGATAAAAAATGACCAAAATGGGGATATTTGACACCACACACACACATACACAGTGGGAAGCACAGAGGCTTATCCACAGAAGCTTTCACTAAGGCAGAAGTAAAGGACAGGTGCAGATCCAAAGTGAGTTTGACACATAAGCTGTGGAAACAGATAGTTTTGGATCATCTGTTGAGAGTGAAAGGGTCTTGGGATTGGAAACCTTATTTCTTTCTATTCCTTTGTCCAGCTCTGGGCTACCTAGCCAGTATATTCCTCCCTTTAGTCAAGGCTAGGAGAATACATGAAATAGAGAAAATATGAATTTTCCAGAATCCAACAAATCCATGGATTCCATAAATGCATCTCCTGATCATATTGCCATTTATTTCCCCACTGGACCATAGTTACCCACAGTCAGGAACTAATTATTGTTAATAATGATTTATTATTAAATAAATCATTTAATAATAATTTGTCTTGTGTAGGTGACTTCTTTTAATCTTATTTATTATATGCCTCATAAAACAAGTGCTATAGTCTTAGTGAACTTTGTTATTATTGATTAGTGACTAATAATTAACAACAGTTGGTATTTATAAGGCACATGAATTCCACAATACTTATTCCACATAGATAATTATAGGGTTTGTGTTTACAATAGTATCTAAAATTCTCACAATAAATGTATGAATAGAATATGAATCGCATTTTAATAAAAAAGAAACTGAGGTGAACAATCAAGTGCCCTGTGTCAATTCATATGTTAATAAGATTAATAAAGATAAAATATAGTGTCATTAAAAATCCAACTCCATATGGACAAAAGAGTTTCTTAGTTTATGTCCAACTGAAAATTAACCTAGGAAAGCCTTTTTATATGGAGAATGATATATTTATTTGGTTATGTAATGAAAGCTTTGTCATACAACCCTATCTAGCCAAGTCATTAAACAAAACATTTACATAATAGTTCCTTAATTTTCGCCTTTAAAAATTTACTATGTAATATATATTTTGTAGAAAAATCAGAAACTTCATTGGAAGGTAAAGAAAGTAATCCCACTAACTAAAGTAAACAACGATCAGCAGATATTTTTCAATAAATATATACAGACCTTTTTTGTTGAACAGAAATGGGATGTGTGTGTGTGTGTGTGTGTGTGTGTGTGTGTGTGTTTGTCTTTATAAAAAACTTTTTAACTTAAAGGAGGGAAGAATTATTTATAGGTCAAATATACATCAGTTTCCAGTAATGACTGCATGACTTATAAGCCAATTCTCTACACTTGCATATTTAAGTTGACTCACATTGTTTCTATTGCACACACACACACAAAATACACTCTATGATGAACATTCCTCTATCTTCACACATTTGTCCAATTTTTTCCTTAGGATGAATTCCTGGAAGTAGAACTTAGGTCAGTGGTAAAAACCTATTTTTAAAACAATGCTTATATAAAATAGAGGTGATAAAACAGATTTTTAGGGGGCACACTAATTTTTAATACTCTGATGTATTTAAAAACTTTTAAAACATATAAACCCAACTTTAAAAAAAAACTTCAAAGAATTTAAATAGATGTTTTCCATATCCCAGCCACTTTAAATTGTAAAAACATATAAGTAAAAATACAGAAATCTAACATTGATTTGGAAGACAAGACATAATCTAATTTCAAAAAGATTTTTATTAGTTCTTAAATCAAATGATAAAGGTTAAACAAAAAGATGAACCCACATTTATAAAAACTTATTCCCTCCAATTCTTAAAATTTTTTTATTATTTTAAGAAATACATGTTTATTATAGAAAATTCGGAAAATACATAATATAGAGAAAATGTAAATTTCCCAGAATCCAACAAATACATAAGATAATCTTACAGTTTAACTATTTTCTATACATGTGTATTTTAAAACAATTTGCCATTCTTCTCTCCCCTGCCCTCCAAAAAAGTAGGAAAGCAGCTCCTTTTGGGCCACATCTGTGACGTCCTCATCATCTGATCCCACAGTGGGCCTCCCTCCTTGTGGAGTGGTGGCCTATCTCCTTGCTTACTACACATATATATACATGGCCTAGCCCAAAGTGTGCCAAGGCCCTTCTGGATCCAGAAATGCCAAGGCTCAGCACAATGGAACAGGTCAGAGTCAATGTCCAGCTGCAATCTCCACTTCAGAGCCAGGTTTCTCCCCAGTCATAGTGAAGATTTTGCTTAGCTGGTCAACAATTTGAACAGTAGCTAATATCTCTTAAAATTTATGTCACTCTAAAGTTTTAAAAGTCCTTCCACATAAATTTCATCTTCACAACAGCCTCTGAGGCAGAAAGAGCAGATATTCCCATTGAATAGGAGAGGAATCTGAGGTTCAGAGGGGCTAAGTGAACAGCACAGCTAGTGAATGGCAGCATTTGAATATGACGTCATATTGACTCCCAAGACTAGAGGCTCTTTACCTAGCCATTATTAGCAAACCATTTCTAAGTCTGACAAGTGGAAATTAAGAGTCAGAAGATCTTCAATAAATCCTCTAAACTAATCACCTCTTAGTAGTCACATATAAGGAACATAAGAACCAGAGAAGCTAAGTGATTGCCCAGCTAGTTAGTGACAAAATGGATCTAAAGCACACTCTTCAGATTCCCAGGCCAGTGCTCACTCCAGTTGTCCCTAGAGAGATGCTTTTTAACAAGCTGGTCTCTTATCTGACGTCTTTTGCTTTGTCAAACCAGGAATTAAAATCCTGATATTCAGAGCCAGAAGAGATCTTAGAGACTGCTCAGGCCAGCCCATTCACTTTACAGATGAGGAATGTGAGGTCCAAAACTCTCATGTTCAGTTCTATGCATCTTCCTCTGATTATATTACTTCCCTTCCCAATAGTTAAGAAATCTGGCCAAAAATGTTTACTTCCTTCTTTTACACTAAGTGTGTGATAGACCGCAGACCAGCAAAATGAAAGTGAAATTAAAGATTTGACACCCTGAAGATATATGGTTGGTAACAGATATACCAACCATGGCTGCATCACAAAACTACAAAGTTCTGCTGGGTTCCAAGGAGATTTCCCACTCTACTGCCATCCTCTGCCTACACAGGAGCCACAGAGGACCTTCTGGAAAATGTCTCTGTCTTTGAAAAAGGTACCAGTGGCCCTCCACAAATCACCAATCCCTTTAATCTATGATGTAGCATTATTCTTTAACTAAAGACTTCTACTACACAAGTCAGCCAAAATCCTAATTAAAACGGACAGCACCTCACTGCAGCTGTCAGTTCCCTCAAGTCCAAAGGATTCAGACCTGCTCCTGAGATCACTACCAGAGACCATCAAAATCATGTGACTGTAGGCCACCTTGATTCTTCAATAGTTCCGAAGTCCTAAGGCTAGCTTTATCTCTCCAACGAGATGGTTGAGAGGAAGGGACCGCTTCCGTGGTTGAATACCTATTATGAGCTAGACAATGTGCATGGAGGTAGAAGATATGGCCCCCACATTCAAGAAACTTACAGAAGGATAAACAAAACCATGTGTAAAACTAAGCACAGTCACAGAGCTGTAAACAGGATGCCAAAGAGACCAGAAGACGAGCACCTACTGATGGGTGAGGCAGCTGAATTTTTAAAAGGTTAATAGAAATCAGTTGGGCAAAGGGAGGCGGAGGGCAAGCCAGGCAAGCAGGCCAGCGTCAGCCAAGGCAAGGAGAGAAATAGCTTGGTTTACGGGAGATAAACAGTTCAACGTTGCTGAAGAGCAAATGCAAGGCAGAGAGTGATGGGAGTCCAGGCTGGAGCGTAGGCCTAGCAAGGTGGCAGCAGGCGATAAGCCCGCGTAATTCTCGCTGACCTGGTACCAAGAGGGCAGCTTACGCAATTCCCAAGTAATCGAATTTGGGCGCCCATGGTGAAGGCTCTGTCTGTGGTGGCGCCGTCAGCCCCCCTCCCCCGTGCACCTGTGCTCCTTCACAGCTGCCAAAGCCAACACAGTCTGCCCGAATCCACCAGATTTTCAAATCGGGCCACAAGCCCCCGGCCACTGCCACTGCGGCCACAGCCACTGCTGCCCCGGATCACCAGCCCCCGCAACCCTCTGGTTTATGCTCTAGGGTTAAAACGCCTGTTGACGCGCTGTGACTGCTGCCTGCGCGCTAACTGGCGGCCCGGCTGTTTTCTCTGCAGTAGCCACCGGTTTTTCCCCGAAGAGTCCCTGCCGGCCTCCCCGACCCAGGGTTGAGGAGGCTGGGGCGCCGAAGGCTGCTCGGCCGGGCTGGCACTAGGCCGGGCACGGAGGTGGGGAAGGGGCCGGTGCCATCTGGGACTGGCGCAAGGCGCAGTGCCGAAATCCGTACTCCCCGGGAAGCGCAGCGGAAAACACAAACAAGACGAGCGCCCTCCTCTCAGAGACCCGGGCGCCAGAGGCGGCGGTGGTCCCCAGGGTCAGCAGCAGCGACCCGGGCTCTGACCAGGGCCGGGGCCGCTCGTTGCTAGGGGCTCCGGGCAGGGGCGCGCCCGACCGGAGCGCTCAGTGGCCCCGGGCCCGCGCGCCAGCGCCCAGGCCGCTGTCATTACCTGGCCAGTGTGGTTTTCCCCGAGCCCGGGAGGCCTCGCAGGAGGTAGAGGTGTTTCCTAAAGCTGTGGCGGCGCGGAGGTGTCCCCCGCGGAGGCGGCGGCCGAGGCGGCTGCTGCTGCTGCTGCTGGAGGCTCAGCCTCCCAAAGGATTCAAGAAAACTGTCCTCCATGGGGAGGGGGCTGTCTGTGAGGGCCCTGGGTTCCCTTTCCTGAAGTCACGGTCTTGGCCAAAGCTGTTGTTTTTGTGACTCTCCGGCCATGTGATAGATGGAGGGGCGGGCGCTCGGAGCCCAGCCCCTCCTTCTCACCCGCCCGAACCGCTCTGCGTGGGAGGGGTCGTCCCTACCTGAAAAGCTGGGTACACTGGGAGACTGACAGCCCAGAAAACATAGGTGACGCACTACCTAGCTTTGCCTCCAGCCTCCCACTGCCACTCGCTGCCGTTTGTCCTGAAGAAAGCAGGGAACCCGCCTAATGGGACACTAGGACAATTTCCTGCCTCCACCTTACAAGCCAGACCCTTCTGTCACAGCCCTCCCCCAACTCCACCTCCGACCAGCCTAGACCTTGAAAGTGAAATAATTTTTGTTGAAGATTAAAGAATGTGAGTAGCACTTTGAATAGTAACAGTGAAGGCCACTGTCTCCTCAAATTTATGTATACCAACATCTGGCTGTGTCCCAAGGGCTAACACTCTTCCAGGGCCAGTATCTTCTTTATCAGACTGCCAAAAATATTCTTAGAAAGCTTTGTTGCCCGTACAGAACTTTAAATCACTTCTTCCTCTGAAAAGCACACCTTAGGAATCATATTGAGTTAGAACAAGTCTACCACACAGGCACCTATCTGCTCCCACACACACAAAAAAAAGAGGTAGCCTCTCTGGGAACTGTTTCAGATCCCAGAGGAAAGTGGCAGACTCTACTGGCATTTACAGGGAACTAAGTTCTAAGTTCCAGGAGCTGGTGAGGACCCATTGGCTGATCACCATAATGACTCTCCATTATTTCAAACTCAAAAGCAACAGGGTGCCTGTTTGTTTACTGAGAGAAAATATTCAAAATCTCCTCCTAGAAAATCAGGATATATGGTGGCCTTGGCTATAATATTTTTTATTTTTTATTTTTTTTTGAATTTTTAATATTTTTTTTTAAAGAGAGAATGAGAGAGGAGAGAGAGAGAGAGAATTTTTAATATTATTTCTTAGTTCTCGGTGGACACAACATCTTTGTTGGTATGTGGTGCTTGAGCCACATCCCCAGCCCCTATAATAATTATTGTAAAATAAATTTTGTTTCTGGCACCATAAGGTAGGAAAATTACAAAAAGGAATTGTGGGGGGGAAAAAGTGATTTCCTTCTAAACCCAAATCCAGAAATTCCAGAGTTAATTTCAGGAAGGGGCTGTCCAAATCGGGAGGGGCTCTGTTCTGGGAACTTCACCTCCCCCTTGGGATTTCCCCTCTGAGGGTGGGGGAAGGGTAAGTGAGGGAGGAGGATGAACTGTTCTCCCTTGGGGGAAAATATGCCTTCCCAGCATGGAAGGGGTGGGGGTGCTGGAGATCAAACTCAAAGCTTGGCACATGCCAGGCAAGCATTCTACCACAAAACTAGCCCAGGACATATATTTTCTTGATTCTTCTTAGTACTGCTAAGAAACCATGGAATTGCAAAGGCTTCTCTAAATATTAGGGGGAACTACAAAGAACAGAAAATATACATGAATCATAACAATAGTGACATTTATAATCTATATATCCCTATTATATTTTTTAGAGGGGTTGCTGGGTTTGAACCTAGGGTATCTTGCATACAAAGCAGGAGCTCTATAACTGAGCTGCACCCCTAGTTTTTACTTTGTACAAAAGTGTTTTGCCAGAAGATGGGAGGGGAGGGGAGGGGAGGGAAGGGGGATAGTAGAGGATAGGAAAGGCAGCAGAATACAACAGACACTAGTATGGCAGTATGTAAAAACGTGGATGTGTAACCGATGTGATTCTGCAATCTGTATACGGGGTAAAAATGGGAGCTCATAACCCACTTGAATCAAATGTATGAAATATGATATGTCAAGAGCTTTGTAATGTTTTGAACAACTAATAAAAAAACAATAGACTTCAAAAAAAATAAATAAATACCAAAAAAAAAAAAGTGTTTTGCCCAGCCTGAATATCACCTTTTTCATCTAGATCTTCTCTGTCCAATACAGGAGCTCCGAGTCTTGTCAACTGGGCATTTAAAATGTAGCTAGTGCAAATTAAGATTAAAATAGGCAATGAATTCCTAAGGTTCCAAATGAAAAAAAAAATCTCATTAATAATTTTATTTATTTATTTTTGGTACCAGGGATTGAACTCAAGGGCACTCAACCACTGAGCCACATCCCCAGCCCTATTTTGTATTTTATTCAGAGACAGAGTCACACTGAGTTGCTTAGCACCTTGATTTTGCTGAAGCCAGCTTTAAACTTGTATTCCTCCTGCCTCAGCCTCCCAATCTCAGCTGGGATTACAGGCATGGGCCACTTCGCCCAACTCATTGATTTTTATATTGATTATACACTGAACTGATAATACATTAGATATAATGGATTAACATTAAAACTTTATCTGTTTTTTTTCACTGTTTTATTGTGGTTACTATAAAGTATAAGTTATATATGTGTTTGGCATTATATTTCTTTTAGACAGTGCTACATGAGACTTCTTATCTACTGTATTACTATTCTCCTCTGCGGGGGCGAGGGGGGGTCTCAGGCTTCCTCATGGCAGCAGGAAGACATGCAGCTTTGGAAGCAAGAGGTTCTAATACACTGATCGCACGCGCAATGCCTCTGACAGGTGGAGTTACCTGATAGATGGTGAGAAATATGAGGTATTGTTCAAAAGAGAAAGCTGAGCTGAAAACAGAGCTTTGAAAATTCTGGCCCCTATGAATAGAAACAGATAGCTGAGGGTACCAGCATTTAAGGACTGTGCCCTTGAAGCAGATCCAGAGAAGGTGAGATGAGGGAATGATCAGCAGTGTAGACTGAACACTAATATAGGTGTTTGGAAGCTCAGAGGGAGAGAGTTTCAAGGAGAAGAAAATGGTCAGCAGTACCTGGAAGTGATCCCAGACACTTTCTTTGGGGCTTAATTCCCACATTTAACTAGTCAACAAGCTCAATTTTCCCAGATTTATTCCTCAAAACCACATTGTTTAAAGTTAACTGTGTATCTGTTTCCTCCCACTAGACTATAATTTCAACAACAGGGAAAGTGTTTTACTTATTCTTGTCATCCAGGAGCTACACAATGCCTGATATTCAGAAGGTGCTCAATAATTATATGAAAACCTGAACTATTTTTTTAGTTGATAAGCCTGAGGCTAGCTCTTACTAAAGATTGACTGATTCAGTTCCAGAGACTGAGGCCACAAATTCTAGCCCAGGCAATTTAGTGAGACCCTGTTTCAAAATATTATATAAAAGGAGGTCTGGGGTATAGCTCAATGGTAAAACACTTGCCTAGTATACATGACGCTGTAGATTCAACCTGGAGCACCACAAAAAAACACTGAACCAGATAGTATATAGTGTCAGGTGAGGAATAAACAGAGTAAGTAATCGTAATCTTACAGATCTGAGAACAGCCTTGCTGTTAGCTGTTTTCAGATCATCTGATGGACAACTCCACAGTCCAACTATGTGACAGTCTCCAGATAGGTGGATACCTTTTACAGAATACCTATAATAAAACACTCATTAGTACACTCTGTTTACATAACCAGCTTTTCAGCTCTAGGGTCCATTTTTCTAACATGTGACGACTGCCACAATCTCACCATTGTATACTAGAAACCATTACTATTATGGACATAAAGAAAATAAACTTGAAGTCAAGTGCAGTGGTGTACACCTGTAGTCCCAGTTATTTGAGAGTATAACAAGACCCTATCTAAAAAAAAAAAAAAAAGGAGGAAGAGAAGGAGAAGGGGAGGTAAGAAAAACTAGTGGATAAATCTGCCAGTACAGAAATCTCCTTTGGCTAAGTCTGATTTTGATAACATACCCACACCCCCAAGAAGACACACACATACACCATACACACATGCACGAGTGCGCGCGCGCGCGCACACACACACACACACACTTCTGAATTCCATATTTCACTCTTATAACAGAGACTTCCCCTATAGGAAGGACCATTACCTTCCAATTCCACAGCATCTAATATTGCCACTATGCACAGGGTCTAAGCTTCATGGAGGGAACCTGGAAGGAGGAAGAATAGCCCAAACCCATTTCTCTAAAGCTCCATTCCAGAAATTAGGGAAAGGCAATAAAAGCAGGAGATAGTTGTAGAAAGTTGGGGCATGCTATACCCAAGTATATATATATATATATATATATATACACATCAGCATAGCATAAAGGTGCTCCATAACTGGTCACTGCCCACAACATATCCATCATTAAATATTTCTAATATTATCCTTAGGTATAGTTATGATGATGCAGATTCTAATATATTAACCAGAAATCCTCAGATGCTTTCCTGTTGAAAGTACATAAGAAAGCAATAATGTGTCAAATGCCAAAGTCCCACTCACTCCTGATTGGCTGTCCTTCCCCTTCCCCTGATTCTGCTTCCCTCCTGGCTCTTTCCTCATCCTTCTTCTAGAAGCCTGAGGAAGACATTAGGGGAAGACAAATAAGAAAGAAAAGTAATGCAGAATATGTCACAACACTAATACCAGTCAGATCTGTGCTAAAACAATCACATTCTAGGCCAAAGGCAAGTACACTTTCACAATAGCTCTAGGAGCCTGAAGAGGACCACCAAACACTGAAGACTAGGGTCTCTGTCAAGAAAAGATGAATATACAGAAAGTATACTAAATAAACATACAGAAAATATTGAGCTACTTTAAACAAAGCAAATAAATAAATATTTAATAAAGATGGCAGATTGAACATAAGCATTTAACTTTCACCCCCTCCTTAAAACCTCCCATACTAAAATGTAAAGAAGGTTAGTTTGGGAGGTTTGGGGAGGCAGTGGTTAAATCCCAGGAATTGGAAGATCTGGAGATGGCGGTAGGGCTCTAAACCAAAAAGGAGTTCAAAATCTGTTTAAGAAACAGACATCAGGACTGGGACATGTGAGTGGTAGTGCACACACAAGGCCTAGGCCTAGATTTGATCCCAGCATACTCCCCCCAGCAAACACCCCCTCCCTCACACCTACAGGGGTATCATTTGGAGAAGGTAAAAACAAAGGATCCTCCAAGAGGGGCTTAAGACAGGTTGAACATGCTTCCTGAAAACCGGGGATTTAAGCAAATGTCTACTGTTGAGAGCCACAGCCTAAGGGGCCCCAGCAAACTTCCAGCTGCCAGCTGATGATTGGCTCACAGCGGCCCCAGCAACTTCTAGCTGCCAACTGATTGGCTCCTCTGCAGTGATGCTCATTAGGCTGTTTCCCTGCCCTTTCAGACCATGGAGCTGCTCATTGGGGGACTTTTTTTGGCTCCGCCCACGTGACCCAGCCAATCGGCCTCAAGAGCAGGAGGAGTGGGGGAGGTGGAGAGGCTTGTGGGAAGCCAGTGGTGGCAGTTGGGCTCTGAAGGTTTTTCCTGAGGAGCTATTTTGTTTGGCTGTGTGGTTCTAAAAATAAAGTTCGTTTCTTTTGACAAGTGGCTCCTAAATTGTGCCCAGCCAGTCTACAATGTTGAATGAGTAGAAAATTGTCCCTTAGTTTATATTTTTCAAAAATGAATTTTCAGATCTTAAGGTCAGCTAAACTAAAACAGAATTTTAAATAATAAAACAATACTAGTAACCTTAGTATATTATAGGTCCTACAATCCCTAACCAAATCCCAGAGGTCTGATATGTTTCAGAACTCAGAAAGTGTTTGCTTGTTGAAGTAATACATATAAGAACACATATTACTTTATATTTCCAGTGGGATCTGGGGAAGTCCCTAATAATTAAATATATTAATATTTCTGAAGCAAAATATATGAATATACTCAAACACATACCACATGGGGATAAATCAGGAGTAAAATTAACCAATTTGAGTCAGGCTTAGCTGTCAACTTAGTTTTAATTCTAAACTTATTTTTAAAACAAAGCAGTGTTTGCCAGGGGCTAAGGGTACAGAGACTGGGGAAATGTTTAATGGATGGGTACAGAGTTGCAGTTTTATAAAATGTAGAGTTCTAGAGATGGATGATGGTGATGGTATATTATACCTTCAGAATGGTTAAGAAGATAAATTTTATTGTGTATTTTACCACAATAAAAAATTGGAAAAACAAAACAGAAACGATTCTGGTTTTTAGAGCTTTTTGGATTTCAGAATTCTAGAAATGAAATCTCAGGCCAATAGTCAGATATAAGACCTACACTTCTGATCCTGATGCAATTTAAAAAAAAAAAAGTTCCTCAAATTTTCTGTACCTTATTCTTCTGTAACATAAAAGTATGGCAAACATCTTCAAAATTAATAATAAAATACTTAAATGGTTACCTCTTCGGTTGAGTTTTTTATTATTATTCAGATAACTTATTAAGAATAGTTGGACAGATTATCCAAACCACTTTTGGTATCCAATGGGTCCAACCCTGAAAAGAGTTCTTCAGGTCAGTGCTGAGCAGGCGATCAGGGTCTTCAGAATCACTGTGAAAACGGGAGGACTCAGCTATAAACAAACATAAACCCAGAAAAATGATGAGAGGAACAGAGTTTGTTTCCAGATTCCCAGTGTTTCCCTAGTTATAGCACTCCACTGGCATTTAGCACTGTATACCATCCCCTCAGTCCACACTTCATCTGGTCCTACCCACATATATGAGCCCATCCCACAGACATTTCCCAACCACCTATTCCTAAATTGAAACTTGTTCTTTATAGTATTCCCTGAAGTCTAGTTGTTTAATTAACAAAAAGTTAATATCACTAATTCAAGCACATGCATTAACAAGTTTACTGGATCAGAAGTTCCTCTCCCAGATAACACAATTTCTACTGTGCTAGGGAGCATTTAGCAATGCTTTCACTCACGGAGGTATTTAGCAGAAGGAACCATGCAAAATAATTTGTATAAGTTATTGCATTTATTCCTCATTTAATATCTCTATGACAGGTTGGTATTATAAACCTATTTTTATAGGTAAAGAAAATGAGGCTCTGAGAAGGTAATTTGTTGGGCAGCAGAATAGAATAGACAATATGATTGATGTATGTACATTCCATGTATGTATTATATATCAAAATACATTCTGCTGTCATGTATGACTAAAAAAAATAAAAATAAATCGTATGGTACAAAAAAAAAGAATAATAGAAAATCTGGAAAAAAAAAGAAGGTGATTTGTTTAAGATCACACAGTGTTATAATTTAGATATGAGGTATCCCCCAAAAGTTCACATGTGAGATGATGTAAGAATGTTCAGAGGTGGAATGACTGGGTTATAAGAGCTTTAACTTAATTGGTAGATGAATCTGGGCAGTAATTACAGGCAGATAGGGTGTGGCTAGAAGAAGATCACAGGGGGTGCGCCTTTGGGGTTTATATTTTGTCCCTGGTGAGCAGAACTCTCTCCCTCTGCTTCCTGGTTGTCATATCCTGAGCACCTTCCTTCTGCCATCCCTTCCACCACAATGCTCTGCTTCATCTTGGGCCAGTGCTATGAACTGAACTTCTGAAACCCTAAGTCAAAATAAGCTTTTCCTCCTCTAAGTTGTTCTCTTCAGGTCTTTTGGTTAGTGTCACAAAACTAACTAAAACACACAGCCAGGCAGCAGTAGTTTGAAAATGGAAATCCATTCTCTCCAACACCCCTCCAACACAAAGGAGTGCCACAATATCAATATTTTGCAACCATCAAGGAGTGCATTTTGAAATAGGCAAGAACTTGGGGGCTCCCAGAGCCAAACAGGACTTTCCTGCTACTTAGTTCCCTCTTTATAAATTTCTTTTTACCCTTTAAGACCCACGTTATGCCAAACACAAAATAAGGAGACCCTTTCTCAATTATAAAAAAAAAATGCACATAGTTACAACACTCACAAAAATGTCCTGACAAAGTAAAAGAAAATTAAGAATTTAATGTGAGTGAGGTCCAGTCCATAGAGGGCAGTATGGAATGCATGAAGAAGATTAACATCAAAATCAAAATTATGGTGTAAAAAGTGCCCTTGACACAAAATATTCAAATTTAGCAGACAGAAGACTCTTGAGTTAACCATAGCCAAACACAGCCATGGTTACTCATGTTGCTTTTACTAATATCTTGTCATATTGGGGCCATCTCAGGCTAGGGAAGGAAAATAGTCCTTTCCTAACTTCCATCCCTATAACATAAATTTCAGGAGAGCAGGAATGTTTTCACTGCCATATCCTCAGAATATAAAACAATATCTGGCTTGAGGCAACTCAATAAATATCTGTTGGATAAATAAATGAATGTCTTCCCCTCCTTTCTTGAGAATTCCTCACCTCTTATCTCATCCATATGTGGCCCTTCCAAATCTCTAAACTCTTACCCTAAATCTTTAGTTCTTTTCCCTCTTTTTTCAGCAGAAGCAGGTTTAAAGGAAACAAAAATATTTTTATTGGGTATATGAGAAATGAAAATATAGAATACTCTTAGAAGTAAGAGTTATAATTAAGAAAGAAAACATATGGTAAATCACAATGCATTCACTTCTTATCAAACTGACACATATACACTGAAATTGTAGCAGCTGTGTTTATTTCATAATTTAGGCATTTGGGGGGAAAAGTGCAATGTGTTTATTTTAATGTCAACTTGATATCAAGTTTAAAATATAACATGAATATGTCTATACATTTTCTCCTTTCTGAATCTGAAGTATTTAATTTCTGACGTATTTAAATATAACCTACAATCCTTAATTCCTAGGCCTGCTCACATACCATTCCTGGGGGAGATTTCTTATAAATTTTGTGTTTTGAGAATGCTCTAAAATATGTTCTAACCAATAAAGTGGGAAAATAAATTTGGGAGCAACAATCTAAGCTTTGTTGTATTTCACAAAAATATCTACATTTAAAGGAAATAAAAGCATCATGCGCAATAGCACACAAGGTTGCTATGGTAACAAACTGCATTTTTTAGATCTTACTCTTCTACTGTGGTACATATGAGCTATTACAACCAAATAACGTCAATATTCACTCTGATCATACATAGGTCTCTGGAATAAGTAATACTTACAATTCAAGAATTCTTTCTAACCAATCTTCTTTTGTCTTTTCTAGAAATTATCAAATACATAAAATAATGATTAACATTTGGAAAAAAAAACATTTGGCATTGTGTTTAAGTTTACACTGTCATTTTACTCTACACAGAGACATTCCTAAAATGATAAAACAGCAACACAATCACAAATATCAATACAAATATTTGAAGTATTGTTGTGTGTGTGTGTGTGTGTGTGTGTGTGTGTGTGTAAGTAAGTAAGTAAGTAGTAATAAGATCTCTATGGAGAATAAAGAGAAATAAGAAGCATAAAAATATATATTTGATTTTACTGTATGGAAACACAAAACAAATGTAGCTTACTGCAGCAGTACTTATATGAACAAGTAAAAAATACCTATGCTTCTAAATTATTAGTTATATAATGTTTCACTAAACTTCCACTTTACTATTTATTTCAAAATATATCCCTAGCAATGCCTCTGGGCTCATTCAAATCACTATTAATTAACATAAACAGAACCCCCGTCACCCCCATCATGTTAGAGAACTGGCTTTTCCAGAGTTTCCATCATCATCTTTCTAATTGTCTAAGCCAGTCCTCCTCCAGCCTCCTGGAAAATGAACAGCCCTCAAAAATAGGCATGTCTTCCACTATGGACCAACAAATCACTCCAATAATGAGATACTTCCAAGTCAAGTAAATATAAATCTAATTTGTAGCTGTTATTCTCTAACAGGATAATATTAAGGACTGGATAGGAGAAAAAATATAATGAAGAAGAAAGGGCTCTCCCAAAATAGATACCTTAATCATATACTGTGTTGATGTGCACACACTTCAACAAAGGGAATTTAATACAACTTTCTCTTGGGAAAAGTTAAGAGAAAATTTGCATATATTATCTACTCATCCACATATTCTTTTTTTTTTTTTTAGAGAGAGAGAATTTTTTTTAAAGAGAGAGAAAGAGAATTTTTTTTAAAAGAAAGAGAGAGAGAGAATTTTCGATATTTATTTTTCAGTTTTTCGGCGGACACAACATCTTTGTTTGTATGTGGTGCTGAGGATCAAACCCGGGGCCGCACGCATGCCAGGCGACAGTGCTACCACTTGAGCCACATCCCCAGCCCCACACATTCTTTTTCTCGTTTTCCCGCTACACCCCATCATCTTCTAATTTAATATAATGGATATAGCACTTCTCTGTTAAGTGTAATGAACAGATTTTCTCCAATTTTAATTTTAATTTTGTACTGAAAATTGAACCCAGGGGTTCTTAACCACTGAGCCATATCCCCAAGGCTTTTTATTTTTTGAGACAGGGTCTTGCTAAGTTGCTTTAGGCCCTTGCTAAGTTGCTTTAGGCCCTTGCTAGGTTCTGATTTCAAGTTTTAAAAAACCAGTTAAGAGAAGATCTTCTGTGAAAGCTATAAAAATATACCTCTATTGACATCTTCCATTGCAAATAGATCATCTTCAGTGTTTTCCAGTCAAGGGGAATAACATAGTCATCAGGTAATAAGGATTCTGTGGAAAAAAAAAAAAAGGAGAAACAAATTTTGTCTCAAATGTCACACAGATTTTTCACCCTAAATGTGAAGATATGCAATGTAGGCTGCTATAACATTAACACTCTGATTTTGAAGATGGCTAAATCAAGAGTCTGTCTCAGACTTCTATTAGTAAACAGTATCCAGACTAAAATAAAATCCTTATTAAGTACTTATATAAAATGATATGTATCATAGTCCATACTCTCATTAAGTAAAAATATATATACATAAAGACATACACATATATAATAGCTTTAAGTGGTACTGTCTCAAGGCATAAAATTTAAATAGTCATCCTTTTCTGTGACACGTATTAAGCATTTCAGCTACAGCAAATTTAGTCTTCCTGAAAATTGTTTCTTCCATATGAGTGTCTGGGGAAAATGTTCCTCAAAATGAAGAAGCTCAAAAACAAGTCCAAACATTAACACACAACCATAACATACAACATCAGCCATGCCAAACCACAAAAATTATTTTTTTTTTTTACTAGGATTCATTTGAGTTCCCTGCCTTATTTACAAGGCCACTGATCATACATCATGGCTTGGCTTGTCCAATTTAGCCAAGCAAATCAGTTTACAGCATCCACTTAAGAGTTTCTTTCTCTCCCTTTTTGTAAGCACATGCCATTTTCAAATGTGAAATTCTTTCTCTTTGCTTGTTTTTCAAGACATATTCTTTTTCTTTTGTATAAAGACTGTTTATAATTCACTTTCATATTGAAAGGATCCCAAACAAAACCACAACCCCATCTTCTCTTCAACAATCCCTTTAATGCTGCTAATCTCGCTCATAAAATATTCATAAGCTTGTCATGTATATTTTCTATGTGCAGTAATTTTATTTTGTTATTTTTGTTTCCCCAGTTAGAAAGTAAGCTATTTGATGAATAAGGTCTATTTCCTTTAAAAAGTTTTTGAAGTCTAATTAATGGATGCTTGATCATTGTTGATTCAAGAGAGGAAGAGATTTAGAATCTTTACACCTGTGACTTCTTGCTTTTTCTTACTGATCTAAGGCAGTAACTGCTAATCTTTCTGAGTCATGGACCTCTAGGAAAAGCTAATAAAATCTATGGACTTCTACCAAGAAAGGGGCACAAAATAATACCAAAAAAATTTGCATGTAATTTCAGAATATAAACCGTGAACTAAGATCTCCGGCCTAAAATGTCTAAAAATTCTTCAAAACAAACGTATTTCATTTATTTATTCATTATATTTATTTTTTAGCAGTGAAGGTTTATTCTTGGCTAAGAATTAAAAAGCAAGGAGAAAGCCTCAAAAATTAGCTTCTCATGCATTTTAAATTTTAAAAATCGAGGGGTTTTTTTTGTTTGTTTGCTTGTTGGCACATTTATTAGGATAGAAAAATTGCAGTTTTTCATAAAGGTAACAAGTATGTTCAATGTGATATCAGAATATCAAAACTAGATTGATAATTATGACCCCTGCACTGAGACTTAGGCAATTTTTGGTCTGAGTTCCTGGGACCAAGTTTATCTGGAACATCATAAGTTTAGGGGCAAAGTGAAAAACCAGGAAGGACATGTTTTAAGAGACAGCATGGTGTGGGAACCCAAGTAGGTAAAGGAGAACAGGAAGATCCAAAAGAACTGGAGAACAAAGTTCCAGGGATTGGAACTTTGGCTTCTTGGCTCTTAACCTATTCCTAAGGAAGAGTACTAGGAAAGCATCAGGTATTGAGTAATAGAGAAGGAAAAGTTGGGATTTGTGTTCCATTTCCTCTATAGGACAGTTAGCATCTTAAATATTATTTTTAAATATAAATTTACTTAGAATATTGATAATCATATATCCCCTTGTTTTATTCACAGGTGGATTTTTCATTTCCAAAAAATATTTTCTTTTTTAAAAAATATATATTTTTAGTTGTAGATGGACACAATACCTTTATCACTTTTATTCATTTTTATGTGGTGCTGAGGATCAGCACCAGTGCCTCATATATGTGAGGCAAGTGCTTCACCACTGAGCTACAAATCTCAGCCCCCAAAAATAACATTCTTAAGAGATTAGGAGAGAGTTCAACTAGTCAACTTGAAAACATTTCTAACTCTCTCCTCATCTTGTTAGCACCCTTCTCAATCTTTAAATACATTCAACTATTTCCAACATCTTTGTCATTTAATCTTTTCTATCTCTACTTTACTAATCTCATATCTAGGAGCCAAAATTGTGCATGAGAAAAGGGGCATGTACCAAACAAGGGAAAGGTAAAAAGTAGAAAGTTTGAAAAAAGTAATAATAAAGCAGCCCATCTCTGTTACATGGTCATGTATGTCTGCCTCATCCTTCATTCTTCTCAGTGTCTACTTAAATGGAGAGTCCAAATATTCTAGGCACTCAATGACATTTATGAAGACTATTTTGGTGGCAAGGGATGGGAACTGTAAAAGGCAAAGTTCCTTAACTAAGGGTCCTCATTTTGGGGGTTGAAAGTTATCACACAACCAATAAATTACATGAAATCACTAACACCAGGTAGAAACAACTTAAGAATTTACTTGCTTTCTTATTGACTTATGAGATCACTTTCTATTAAGAATATTACTGCAGGAAACACAGTCTGCATGATTTCAAATTTTAAAAAAGTAATGGAAATGAGTTTAATATTGATTGTATAGGTTACATACATGTCAAAACTGATCAAATTGCATACTTGAAATATGTATATTTTATTGACTTCTGTTTTACCCCAATAAAGCTATGAAAAAAAATTTAAAAAATAGTTGTATACGTAAAGTTGTTTTAAATAAGGGTACAAATTCAATTGAGTGGAGAAAGGAAAGTCTTCTCACTAAATGGTCCTAAAACTAAATATCCATACTTTAGAAAAAGAAAAACTTCAATCGATTCCTTATATCATGTTCACAATTTAAAAATGGATCATAAATATAAATGTGAAATACAAAACTGAAACACTTTCAGGAGAAGATAGGAAAAATACTTTTTAAGCCAGGGGTACCCCAAGATTTCTTGGTTAAAACCCAAACCACAATTTATAAAAGACAGCAATGATAAATTTGACTTCATCATAATTAAAAACTTCTACTCTTTAGAAGACACTTAATGAATAGGACAAGAAGATACCATAGACAGATGGAAATAGTTTTAAAGCATATATCTAATATGTTTCCAGAATATATAAGAACTCTCCAAATTCAATAAGATAGCAAATAATTTTTAAAGAGAATATTAGTGCTTTATTTTGTGCTATAAATGGTTCTTTTTGTTTTTCTTTTTAGTTTCTATTTGCCCTTTAAATTTACTCTTGGTTGTTTTTGGAATAGGCACTTAAAATTTTCATGTGTAAAATTTATATATAAATATATATGACAGGGGTTAGGGATATAGCTCAGATGGTAGAGTGCTTGCCTCACATGTACAAGGCCCTAGTTTCAATCCCCAGCACCACAAAAAAATAAATAAAAAATAAAATAAAAATATATACACACACACTCACACATACCATATATATACACATGCATATATATGACAAATAAAATATCTATCTATCCATTTACATATATATATATGATATATAAAAAAATAAGAATTTACTGCACATGGACCTTTTATTGTTGGTAAATGAAAGCAATTTACCCATTGGAACTCCAGGAGATCCAAAAAGCGTTACTAGTTGAAAAGCAAATCCTTTTGATAATGGAAGCTCAAAGGTATTAAAATCAGTGCTTGTTAAATCTTGGAGATCCTCAGTTGGTAAACACTGTAATGGCTTAGATTCTTCCCATCTCTTCAGCTTTTCACCAAATCTTTCAGAGGTACCCCTCAAAGAGCACAAAGTATCAGGTTGCCTAATTAAAATTTCTGAAGAAATAAACCCTACCTCTTTTAGCTTATTGCCTATTGTTTGTGATTTGAAAGTCAAAAACGTTTTTTTGTTGGTAAAAGATACCATCCAAAAGCTAGATATATAATGCAACACAAGAGAAGGAATAGGGCTTCTGTAAAAATACAGAGCATACCCTAGTCTACTAAATGACAAGTAGTGAGAATAAAAATTTCCACCAATATTTAGAAAGGAATCTTTGATAATATCAGGGTAAAACCACAATGAATGATGATCAAAGATCATAACTTTTTGCTCATTCTCTTCTTGGTTATTGATTTCTGAAATTCTATCTTTTATTTCTCCCCAAATAATGTTCAATCCAAAGTTTTCAGGTAACAGGCCACATTTCTCCCCTTCTTTTGCATTGAAATGACTCTGTCCCAGTAAGTTTGGTACCAAATTTAAAATCCTATTCTCTCTCCTTTTCTTATTAGTTGTTGATTGTAAGGCACTTTGGGTGATGTCCAGTTGAGATAAGTAGCTGCTGAGGATATTTGTGTCTGTTTTCATGAATGAATCTATAGTTTCAGTTGGATGTGACAAATCTTCATTTTCTATCAGTAGTTTCTCCTCTGTCAATGTTTCTGGACCACTTCCTGGTCCTGATACTCCTTCAGAAGTGGAGATTAATTTAATCAATTGTTCTCCACTGTCAGGATGGGTCAGTTTACGTGATCTATCTTTCTTTGGTCTCTGTTCACATACAAACTTATGCGGTCCCTCAGGCCAGCTACCAAAATAGGATTGTCTTTCAGAGCCTTGTTGTAATTCTTCAGATGAATTGGTTGTGAAAAAAGCCCAATAATTGTTTTTAATTGTATGCACTCCTTGTTCCTCTCTTAAAACATTATCTGAAGTTCGGGATCCATGTTGATGGCACAGAATTGGTTCATTTGAGAGACTTTTATTTACCATCTCTCTTTTCTGCATAAACGAACATGGGGTTTTATCAGCAAATAGTTCCTGGGTGTCTAATGATAAGTTTTGCCTATTTCCAACATGCTTTTCTATCTTCATACCCAAGGAGTCATCCCTTGTTAAATAGGAAAGATTTTGAGTCCCTGGTGGACAAGTTACAGAGCCTTCATTTGGGATTGATGACAAAGTTAGAAATAAGTCATCATTTTCCTTAGGGAAGTAATTATCTGGTGTCTTGTCCAACTCAACTATAGATATAACATTTGGAAAACTGTCTTCAGGATCTGTGCTTTTCTGACTTTTTTCTTTATAGCCATTCACAAAATTTCTTACTACATTTTGTAGGCCACCAGTGAAGGGACACACTGATTCTCTTTCATTCTCTTCAAAATCTTCCTCTTCATTTGGGACCTGATCTCCTATTTTAAGATAATTTAAGGTTTCAAATGAGTTTTCATCCATAATTTCAGTAAGACTATTATGCTTTTTGTTTCTTTTTCTTTTTCTCTTTTGTTTGTTTTTGCTCAGACTGTGTCCAGTTTTCTTCAAAATGTTTTCTCTGAAATGTAAAAGGATGAAGAAAAGTTATAATAATTATTTGTATAACATTAACAAACTATAACATCAAACTCTTAAAGTACAGTTTTTATTTTATTTATCTATTTTTATGTGGTGCTGAGGATCAAACCCAGTGCCTCACACATGCTAAGCAAACATTCTACCACTGAGCCACAACTCCAGTCTCTTTAAAGTACAGTTTGAAAAATCATTAGTACAATGGGCTGGAGTTGTAGCTCAGTGGTTGAGCATTTACGTGGCATGTGTGAGGCACTGAGTTTGATCCTCAACACCACATTAAAAAAAATAAAATAAAGATATTGTGTCAATCTACAACTAAAAAAATTTTTTTAAAAATCATTAGTACAAGAGATTCTGAAGTATACATGTGCTTTGTATTATATTTTTAAATCACTTTAAAAGAGATATTTTAATCCTATAAATTAAAAGCGAATATACTTTGAGAAAGTTAAAGCTCACATGTACATATTCATTTCATAAACCAATAACTTTATGAAAACCTAATATATTCCTTTAAGAAAATATTTCGTGTGTATGTAAAACCTACCAATAGAGATCTTAGATTTTCTAACATTTTAGATTTTGAAAAAGTGGTTAGAAGGGTCTCATAATGGTACCACTTTAGTGGCCATAATAGCTACATTTTTCCTACACACAAATACTTAGGCAATTAAGTTGCTCCATCAAATTAAACACAATGGTTAATAATGAGCAGCTGGGTCCAATATTTGGATGATATGCTTCTAATTGCCTCTCTAGCAGTTTATGCTATATCACTACTTTGTAGATTGTTTGGAAATATATGAAGTCATTTTTGGTTGTCACAATGATTGGCAATATGTTAACGGCACTTGACACTGAAGCCAGGAATGCTAACCATCCTGCAACACCCAGTGAAAAATCATCATACCCAAAAGAGCAGTAGTGCTCTCATAGTGAGCATTCATGGCTCTCCATAATTGAAGATTTTGAAAAAGCGGCTAGAAGGTTCTCATAATGGTACTATTTTCGTGGCCATAGAGGAGATACTACCAAAGATAATATTCTTTACTTGATATCTTCTTAAACCCTACCTCTGGCCTCTGGCCTGCCTTATCCCCACCCATGCTGCTAGGTAATTTTTAATAGACAGGACATATGAACATCTTGTTCTTTGTCACTTAATTAGATTAGCAGTAGTGAGCATTCATGGCTCTCCATAATTGAAGATAATAATTGATGCTAACAGAAAAAGGAAGGATTTAAGAATTTTCTAATTTTGAATGTGAAGGTCTAGTCAGCCTCTCTTCCACTCCAGATAATGATTGTCAGGGATATGGTACCAAGAAAAAATGTAATGAAAGAAGGATATTAGAAATAGGTGAGGGGAAAATATCAAGAATGGAGTTATAGAAAAATAAACAGAGCAGCAAACAAACAAATATAGAAGCATAGAAATAGTGAGAAAAAGGGAATAATCAGTCAATTGTTCTCAGGCTGGCCACCAAACAAATGAGCTTCTTAAACCTAACTCTGGTCTCTGGCCTCCCTTATTCCCACCCATGCTGCTAGTTAATTTTTAATAGACAGGACATATGAACACCTTGTTCTTTGTCACTTAATTGCTGCTGCACTTGTTCACACATTCCTGAGTGTTTGTTTAGAAAGAATATTAAGAAGGGCTGGGGATATAGCTCAGCTGGTAGAGTGCATGCCTTGCAATGTACAAGGCCTTGGATTCCAATCCCCAGCACCACCAAAAAAAAAAAAAAGAATATTAAGAAACATTCATATATATCTAGAAGTAATTGTTAATAGGCCTCTCTAAAAAGATATCAAGTAAAGAATATTATCTTTGGTAGTATCTCCTCTCTGGTCAGTTCTATGTCTAATGAAAGCTGTAGATGAAAACCAATGTGCAACATCCGTTATGAAATTCATACTGAAGACTAGTATGTTGTTCTGAAAATAAACTCCCATCTTTCTCTAAATGTGGATGAATCATCCTGTTGCAGTGCAGAGTAAAAGAATGGATAGAATGGCAATACATCGAGACCTTAAGACTACTCCAGCTCTAGTTCTGGTTCACTGATTCACTAATTCTGTGGAGCTGAATGCACTTAATGTGTAGCTGTGCTTTCTTAACAGTTCTCAATTGGTCAAGGAAAGAGAACCCTAAGACAGAGAAACAGACATGGTTCACCGCTAAAATGTTTGTAACTCCCTGTGCTATTAGAAAGACTAAGATCCACAATCCTACTTTGAAAATTGGCTTTAAAAATAAATGGCTGGGGGATGGGGCTGTAGCTCAGTGGTAGAGCGCCTGCCTCACATGTGAGGCACTGGGTTCAATCCTCAGCATCACATAAAAATAAATAAATATATTGTGTCCATCTATAACTAAAAATAAATAAATTAATTAATTAACTAAAAAAATAAATGGCTGGGTTCTGGAGATGAGGCTCAGGGTTAGAGCACTTGTTTAGCATGTGGGAGGCACTGGGTTCCATTCCCAGCACTAAAAAAAAGGAAAAAAGAAAAAACACAGTTGGGGATGTAGCTCAGTGGTAAAGTGCTTGCCTAAGCATGCACAAGGCCCTGGGTTCAACCCTCAGCACTGGGGGAAAAAATTGCACACTTAACTATGTATTAGGACTATTTAATTGCTTTACATGTACCAAATAACCTAATCTTTACAACTATATAAAAGAAGGATAAGTGCTAATTTTATCCCTATCTCACAAAAGCAAAACCGGGAAGTTAATTAATGAATCTGCCCAGAATCACATGGCCAGAGGTAGGATTCAGACCTAGGTCAACTGGCTCTACTGAATTCAGACTTTTGCCAGGTACAGTGGCCACACCTATAATACCAGCAATTTAGAAGGCTGAAGCAGGAGGATCACAAGTTGAAAGGCAACCTCAGCAACTTAATAAGGCCCTAAGCAACTAAGTAAGACCCCGTTTCAAAATAAAAAAGGACTGGGGAAGTGGCTCAGTGGTAGAGGTTCAATCCCTGGTACCAATTAAAAAAACTTCCAAGGAGAATTTTCATACTCTTTAACCATTATATGAAAGAGCTTCTCAATTTAAAAAGTCTTTAAAAAACACAATCTCTTTTTTTTTTTCCCTCCTCTCATCTTCAAAGTGTTATGCTGGGCTGGGGTTGTGGCTCAGTAGTAGAGTGCTTGCCTCATATGCGTAAGGCACTGGGCTCAATTCTCAGCATCATATATAAATAAATGAATAAAAAATAAAGGTCCATCAACACTAAAAAATATTTTTAAAAAATGTTATGTTAGAGCTACTCAGTGGCAAGGGTTGAGGTCTATTTGTGTGCTGGCGCTCTCTCTCTCTCTTTCTCTCTCTCTCTCTCTCTCTCTGAGGAGACTTGCTGAGCAGGAATCCCTTTCCCTAATCTGCCTTCATATCAAGGTTCCATCTGAGCACTGGGAAGGTCGAAATAGATGGCCCACAACTTCTACAGGCAGAGGACACTGGTGGCTCCCCTTGGAAGTTAATTCATTTATCATGCATGGAGGAAGTAAGAAGTGATCACTTCTAGATACTTTTTTGAAGGAAAAAACAAGTATGATTGTAAAATAATTTGGATATGGTATATGAGGGGGTAAAAGATAAGAATCAAGTATGCATGCAAGGATTTCATTCTGAATAATTGGAGGGATGAAGTAGTCATGTACTAAGTCACAGAAGTCTATGTGAGATATGAGTTTGGAGAGAGGGTTGGTAAAATAGTTACCAAAAAGTCTAGACCAATAAGCTAATCTGTCTTTCTAGCAGAGGTAAGAAAGTGTAAAAGATAAAGATTTCATTAATATTCTTCAAGAGTTCCTTTGTTTTCTAACTGTATTACAATATGATAGCTATTTGGAGAAAGGACAATAGGGACCCAGTATGCCCAAAGTGAAGTGAACACATTAGATCACAAAAGAATGAGGTAGCTCAAAATAAATAAATAAATAAACTCTGAATCTGGAAGATTAGTCAACTTATTAAGGCATTGTGCTAAGAGTTATCAAAGGAGTCTGTAAGGATTGGAATTCCAAGGAAAATACAACACAGTGCCAAGAGATATGAAAATCAGATGTCTGAATATACAAAGAATTGGCCAGAGACATGTATCAGTTCTGTACACTAAAACACTATAAATCCAATGTTTATTTTGGAAACAGTGGACCTGGCCTTCTAGAAAGAAAACATAAATCAACAGCAGTGACTAGTGAAGCTCCTAGGAGGTAAGAGATATGATGATAGTGGTAATAACTTCTGTTGAAATGTTGTATGCCTCTGATGTGGCAGTAGGTACATTTTCTTTAGGAACATCTATCTACAGTGTGTGAGAGGCTCATCAAAGCTGCCTCAAGACTTGTTAAGCCTGATCTCACTGGTGCTGATTCACATAGGGATGAATGGCACCATTAGAAAAAAAGAAGCATCACTAAATAAAAGTTAGTCACGGAGAGGAAATCAGAGGAGCTAGAGACACAGGCTGTCTTTTGAAAAGAAAGGAGGAAACAGGAAATGAACAATAGTAACACATCTATGATGAATAAGACTTTGCTTTCTAGATGATGGCTTAGAATCTAAGCAGAGTAAGGACAACACATACATACCTCTCAAGAATTAGAAAGAGATGGTTTGCTCAGAAACAAGCTAACCTGACCAAAGAAGGATGTCCTAAAAGCAAAGGTAAGATAGTATCCAGATAAAGCCAAAACTGTATGGAGAAGGATAAAAAGAAAAACATGAGTAAATGTTTCATAAAAAAAAAAACTAAGGAGGTCTAAACAATGTGTCACATTACAGATTCTTATATACTAAGTCATAATGATGGGCAATACATGAAGTAAATCTGAGATTAAAACACATGCAGATTATAAAAGAAAAGTCATACAGCTTTATGGAATGACTGTAGTTGGAATAATATACTGGAATAATTCCAGGAACAAGCTAGCAGGGAGGAATCTCAGGCAAATTAGA